TCAGCCTGCATTGGGATTCAAGTGCCAGTTGTGACCACATATTTTTCTTACTCATCGCCCACACATCCGAGTCTAACTGTCCAATCAAAGCAAGAGGCCCAGAAGGGAGGAGCCGCTCTTTTGTGTCTGCACCAATTTGCTCCCACTTATCTTCTGATCCTTCAACAGGAGCTCTGTGTTCATGGCAAGTCCAGTCAGTACACAGAACTAACCATATTGTCCCCTCCATGTCTAGCATGTAGGAGGTGAGGTCCCTCCAGGCCTCAGAAGGAATGTGGGAAGCCAGAGGACAGTGGAAGAGGTAAATACTTCTCACCAGCCAGGAGTATCTGCTCTTGGCTGCCTCTTCATCTTCTGTGATGTGTCCTTCATAAGGGCCAAAGTGCAGACCCACTGGCAAATCAGCTGCCTCATTCCACACTCCAAGCCCAGCCTCAGGGATGCAGGATGGCCCGATTCTCAACCCAGGGGGCAGGGTGAGGGCTGGGCGGTGGGGATGCCCCTTGTCCACTGCTCGGTCCTTTACAAATGCAGGGGGTCCATGCACAGCACAGCTGTCGATGAAGAAGTTCTGACACTTCTCACAATCTGGAGGGGAGAGCAACAGGGGTTAGGGAAGGTGTAGTGCATGTTCCTGGACACAAAGAGCTTCAGAGGGAGTCCTGCACTGACATCACTGAGACTCAATCCTGTACTCCAGGTTACTAGAGGAAGGGAATGATTTGGGGACCAAAGGACCAGATGGAATTGCTGCATTGTAGCATACTTGCTTCTTAGTGAGGGTCACTTACAGAGGTAGTCATCATCCTGGGGCTCGGTGACCTCTTGGTACCCACAGTCCTTTCTTTCTTGTAGGTTGTACATCTTCACGTCCATTTCCTTTCTACTGAGTTCTGAGTTGGAGAAGAGCAGGTGAGCCAGGTTGGTGCGGTCTGGAGTGTAACTTCCCATTTTGTCATAAACACGCAATCTCCTCCCATCAAATTATCACCTGTCCTTTTGCATACTCTGGTATTTTACTCAGTTAACTGTTGGTTCAGAAGATTAAGACTCCACACTAACTATAGATGACTGATACAATTTTAGTTTCCAGATCTTCCCATTACCAGGTTTCATTTGACAACCTGTAATCATTCGTAAAATGTTTATTGAGTGCACTTTATGTGTTAGGCATTGAGTAAAGGCCTGGGCACACAACACCAGTACAGTGTGGTTGCCATTATCACAGATGGATTTATTGGACAACTTGTATGTGTCACCTGTTTTAAATTCAATTTAATGTTTTCAAACAATATGAGTGATGTTTCCTTATCTTCAGTTTTCACATTAGCCTGCAGGGGCTCAGAGAATTTATAGGATTTGCCCAAACCCTATAAATGAAGCTATACCTGTATTTGTAGGTTAGCTCCATAGCTAACTTCAGTCTCAGCTGAGCCCAGGTTAACTCCAGGCCCATCCAAAGTCCACCCCACAGACCTAGGCCATACGTATCAGATTTTTGGTAGGACTTAGAGGAACTAAAGTTTCCAAAGTATTTTCTCTTACCTGATTTTTGTCTAGTGTGCTGTCCAAAGGCACATGCTTCTTCAGGAAGGGACACTGGTTTCTGGGCATGCTCTGAGTCACTTGCAGTCATCAAATTTGATATTCCTGTCAATTCCTTCAAACTGTATTCATTGCTTAATGGCACCCTGGATGTTTCCTTCAACATAAGAGTCACATATTAAGAGATAACATGTCTTTAATGTTTTAAGGCTTATGGTACATTTTACATGCATGTCTTTAATACTTCAATCCCTGGAAATACCTAGGGAGTATGAATATTAGAGGGTATAGGGCCAATGTGGGTGGGTAATGAATCCAAGATTAGAACCCATGCCTTATGGCTCTAAGGCTGTACCAGTAGCTAGTTGTCTTCAGCTTCCTCATATATAACTTGCTAATTTTTTTTACGTTATAGTGAATGTGCAATTAAATATTGTTGACCAAAGTGCCCTGGGAATTGTGTAATACAGTATGAATGTGAGATGACAGTCCTGCTATCAATTTACCCCTCAGCTCTCTCCATATTTCAAATCTCAGAGAAATTACCTTCAGTGTTCATCGATCATCTTCTAGTTTAATTTGTAACTGTGAAATCATTCATTCAGCAAACTTTTCGGGGCCTTCCAGGGTCCTGATCTGCACCTGTGACCTCTGAGAAGTCTCAGGTATGAACCAGGCCCTGAAAAGAGCTCAGAACACAGAGGTAGGCAGGCTGAACAAATGATTCTAAACAGCATGAGAGTGGTCTCATTAGAACTCAGAGAAAGAAGCTGTTACTTCACCCTATAAGAAATGGCATTTGAAATCAGTTCCAGATAGATGAATTTCTGTTGAATAGTATAACCTATATGAAGACCTCAAGTCATTTTATTATTTGTTCTTTCTCAATCATTAAACCTGAAGCTCCTCAGGGGTGGGAGATGCTGTCTTTGATTGGAGTGGGAGGCTGTGATCCTGGACACTTTACATTCTTCTTCACCTGGGACCATCCACTGCACCAACTGCCTACACATCGTACACTTTCCTTAGTAAGAGAGTCTTAGTGCATCTCTCATTTCTGCATAGCATAGAACTTTGGTTAAAAGTATCAGTCAGATGAATGATGTAATGGCATATGGATAAGACAATGTAAACTTTAGAAAGCAATGAAAGCTTTACTTTTTATCTTAAATTTTTTTATTTTTTGAAGAGGGGGAAGAGAAGGAGAAAGAGAGGAAGAGAAGCATCAATGTGAGAGAGAAACACTGACCAGTTGCCTCTCACACACACCACAATTGGGAACCTGGCCCACATCCCAGGCATGTGCCTTGACCAGGAATCAAAGCAGGAGTGTTTCATTTTCCAAGATGACACCCAAGTGAGTCATGCTGGTGAGGGTGAAACTACGAAAGTTTTAATGAGTTTGTAAGTGATTTAGAGAAGAAACTATGGGTTAGATTGCACTATGACTGATACTGTGATCTTAGACATATAGTCAAAATACTTCTATGTCTGAAAGCTTACTTTCCTCATCATAAATGATGACAGTTATATAGTACATGCCTCATTGGGTTGTTGTAATGTTTAAATGCATTTATTCACACAGAATTCTTAAAGTGTGAAACACTGTGAGAATGAAACAAATGGTAGTTACTACTGTTGCTGTAGTTATTAACTATTAAGATGATGAGCCCTGGCTGGTGTGGCTCAGTGGATTGAGTGTTGGCCTGGATACTGAAAGATAACCAGTTCCATTCCTGGTCAGGGCACATGCTGGGGTTGTGGACCAGGTCTCCCATTTGGGGTTGTGTGAGAGGCAAGCTATTCATGTTTCTCTCACACATGTTTTTCTCCCTCTCTTGCTCCCTCCTTTCTCCTTTCTCTAAACAAATCAATAAATAAAATCTTTTTAAAAAGATGATAATGTTGGACAATGTGTTGGGAAGACCAGGAAAGGAAGGCAGCAGTTCCTAGGATACTTTTTGCATTTTCCTACTCTTCCCTGCATTTCTATCCATGAGGGAAATTTTTTTGTCCACAGGATTTGGAAATACTCACCTTGTGGTGTTTACTCTGTGTCCTTCTGAAGGCTTCCCAAGAAGGTTTCACTGAAAGATGATGAGAAATCAGTGTTTTGCTTGGTAAATGTTTCCAAAACCTGGAGATTCTTATTAGGGACACAGAATTCTGAATGAGAGTAGTCCAAGAACAATCCCAGGATGATTGGAAAATGTTTTCTGAGGTATCATTAAGGTGTAGGCTTCTATTGGGGCCATCCACTAATTTCATTAGAATCATAAAAAAAATAGACAAAGTTTCTTCTACACTTCCTCCTATGTTCATAAACCATCTATTACATTTGTTAAAAAATAAATTGGCCTCTGCTGACAAAAACGTAATAAAAGTAACCGCATAGAAACTCCATGTTTTTCAACATAACCCTTTCTCTGTCTTGTTTTCTTCACTGGCCTTGTCCAGGCTAAGGGCACCACGACCACCTCGCCTCCCTTCTCTGGTATCCTCCCCCCTGTGCACATACTGGCCATCCAGGCCCTTCCTTATCATTAGACTCTGGTTGGCATCCATAGTCTGATGACCACAGAAACAGAATTCCAATCAAGTTAAAGGTCATGTCTTAACTTCAGCTGTGTTTCAACCCCAGACCCATGAAAGTGGGTCCTACCAACCAAACACTCATGATACTGGACAGAATGGCACCATGGCCCACATCAGGAAATGATTCAGTGATCATCCACTCCTGTCCCTGGCCTTCCTTCAGCTCCCGTAATCACCATGTTAACACTGCTTCCCCTCCGTCTCCTGCAGGTCATTGGGCAGCCAGGTGTTGGAACACCCCTCACCGGCCAGACCTGCCTCCCTCTCTTGTGATGACAACTCTTCTGAATTAGTTAGTTCTTGTTCACTTGTATATTCTTATACATTTACTTCTTATTATAATCGTATCTATAATTATGTTTCACACTTGAAAGTTTACAGAAATAACCCCTCACTGTACAATTCACTGTTCTGCATCTTTCTTGTTTTCTGGACAAGCAAACCCTGCTGCCTGGTTAACTCCTGAGATGCAGCCTGACCTAAACCAGGGCCGTGTCAGGAGGGCAGCTCAGGCGCCTCCTGCCCCTCACCTCGCTGCCTTGGAGCCCATTCGTCATCAGAGTCCTCAGGGTCCTCCTCCTGGAGTTCGGTGGCCCAACGAGGGGGCGGCCGAGGGGGTCTGAGACCTAGAAGGACACACAACCTTTGTCGAGAAAGCAAAGAGCTTGAAGGAAGAACAAGCACCAGGAAGCCCGTGGGACTGGCTCCAATGGGATGAGAGAGTAAAACGAGTTGAGCTGCAGTGAGTGCTGCACCATCCCTTCTGTGACCTGAAGGAGCCAATTCCCCCATTGGTGTCCAAACAGAACGGAGTAGCAGGCAGATGGACCCACGGGAGCCAGAGCCAGCCCAGCAGTCTGTCAGGTCACCAGGCCCCTGGGCCCAGCGCCTGCGCACTGGCTACCTAGGCCGGGGAACACGTCAAAGTTCCTCTTCAGGTTCCGGCACCGGCCTTTCTCCCGGTCTCCCATCGCTGCCCAGTCCTCCCTGGAGACGTAGAGGGAAGCGTCTTCCAAAGCTTCTTCAGCCTGGAGAGGAGTGGAAACACCAGTAACTCGGTGATGCGACTGAGAATGCGTGGGGCGGGCCTTCCCCGTCCCCGCGTGCAGGGAGCGGGCGGGGCCTCGGTGGTCCCGGTGCTGCAAGCACTGAGCCCGTGTCCCAGTCGTGTTCCAGTCGTGTCCTGGGTCCCCGAGCGGCTATTCCTCCCAGCGCGTCCCGGGGACCTGCTCGCACCCTGGGCCTTCTCCCACTTCCCTGCCCCGCGGAGTCCCGTCTCTCCCACCAGCGCCCTGCACCCGCACAGCCAGGGTCACCGAGAGGGCCGGGCGTCTGCGGAGCCCTGTCCCCAGGCTCCCCGCCGGCCCCTCAGCTCATCTGAGGCTTCCGCTCCGTTTGCCCCGCTTCTCCCTCAGGGCTGTGCTGCGGGCCCCCGTCGGGGTTGTGGCCCCAGCGTCTGACGGGCGTCCGGGCGGGTCTGAGGCGGCGCAGGAAACGCGCTTTTCCCGGGGAAGGGCTCGGCGGTGCACCCGGGGGTCCGGAGAGGCCCGCACGAGACGCAGGCGCGTCCCCGGCAGACCGCCGTCTCTCAGGCTGACGGGCTCGGGGTCCCTGAGACCCGATCCTGCGTCTTCCGGGCTGAGGACACTGAGGTCTGGGGGGAGGGTCAGACCCTGCGGCTGAGGAGATTCGGGGCGTCTCATGGAGGGGCTTCAGGGTCCCCACCACTGAGTCGGTTTCCAGGACGACGGCGTTTAGCGTCTCTGAGTTTGGGGAGATTCGGTCTTTCCGGGCGAGCTGCAGGTTGGGGGCCCCGAGCCGAGGGGAACTGGGGTTTTCGGGCTGTTTGGGGGTCTAGGCGTTCGGGGTCAGGAGATGTGGGTCCTCCGGGTTGGCGGACGCGGGCCCCTCGATGCTGCAGGGGTTTGGGGCCCCTCAGGATGAGGGCATCTGGGGCTGGACTTTGAAGCTCTCGGACTAAGGGCTCCACGTGGTAAGGCTCCCCGCTTACCGGTCAGTCTCCTGGGGTCCTTGCCGCGCTGCCCACCTCTGTGGAACATCCTCTCCCAGATCCCGGGCTTCCCGCCCTCGGGAGGACGGAGGGCGCCGGGGGCGAGGTTCGTGCTGGGATAGGGCGCAACCCGCCAATCAGTGCTGCTGTCCCCGGGTCCTGCGGGTCAAAGGGCGGTCAGGAAAACCTGACAGGGCGGGACGGGGGCGGAGCCATTTCGCTCTACTTGGGTTGTGGCCTGATCAGAGGAAGACCCGCCCCAGCCCGCGGGGATTGGCTGCTCTGGGCCCAGAGAGCGACTGCTGCTAGGACTGTGGGTGGCGCTCTGTGGCTTGTGTTTTAGTGGATAATGAGGGGTCCTCAGGACCTGGGACCCCCTGAGTCCCAGCCAGTCTTTGGGGTGCATGTGGCCCTCCTGCCGCCTGAGAAAGTATCTTTGTTCCACCAACTGTGGTCGGGATCCCCAACTTTCGTCTAGGCCCATCCGTGCCCTACCTTGTCAAAACCACTTTCAGCAAAAGCTGTGTAACCAGTGAGGGTGACGTCAACACTTCATTGGCACCCTGTGGAAACTTAAGTCTGTAAATTCTGACCAGCAACTCATAGACACACAATAAGTCACAGAGGGCTCAAACATTTAAACACAACAAGTGACATAATAAGTATGCTGGAAAACCCTGGGAGAACTCTCAAATAAGTGGTGTTATGAGTAATAAGCTATGTGTAAGTAAGTCAACTCTAAAAAGATTTCAGAAATAGGAAGACAGGTCAAAACCAAACAAAACTAAATAGATTTTTTAAATGCTGAGAAAACCTACAAGTATTTTGCATAAAAATAAAACATCAAATTTGAGGACAGGGGTCCACAGAGCAGGGTAGATGCTATGAGCTTTCACGGGATAAAGTGGGATAGTGTCTTTGTTCCTTGATTTCCTTGGATTAGAAATAAGCCAGCTAACTAATTATTACTGTGAAACCGCATAAAGGGAAACCTTACTAAAGTGGAGTTGGGGGTCAGTGGGGGTGCTCCACATAGCACCACCTGGGGTCAAATACAGGAAAAATTGTCTGTCATAGGCCCCAACATGAAGATGTACCATGTGTCTCCCCAGGAGAAGCCGACTCCCCAGAAACTCAGCTGGAGAGAAACCATCGTCACCCTGAACTGACACTTTCTTGCAGCGTACTTTCATTTGAAGTGACCCCTCCCAACTTACTTTTTTCTCCCTGTAAAATAACGTTGCTCTCCTTTATTTGGGGAGCTTGACTATCTTTGGCTACAGCTTGCTTGTCCTAAATTGCATTTTTTTACGGTGTCTGAATAAACCCTTTAGCTGCTGGTAAAATAACTGACTGCTATACTTTTAAGGTCACCCTAATTTGGTGGCTCATATGGGAATCCAGAGGACTTCTGGAATCTCTGAGGCTGATGAGCAAGCAGGTGCAGTGTCCTTGCTCTGAAAGACTTGGGGAAGGGTCCTTTGGTGCAGACTATTTGCTGATCATTTTGACAATAGCTATCCAGAAATAACATTGTCGCACCCTCTGACCCAGAAATTCCACTTTTCAAAAATTTCTCCTAGTTGCCCTGACCTGGTAGCTCATTTGGTTAGAGTGTCCTGCATATATGCTAAGGTGGCCAGTTCATTCTTCAGTCAGGGTACATACAAGAAGCAATCAATGAATGAATACATAAGTGGAACAACTCTCCCTTTCTTTCAAATTAATAAATGAAATTAAAAGAAAAGAATAAAAAAAATTCCCCCAGTTATGCTTCCCTGTGTATGAAATGAAGTATGTTTAAAATATTGTATCCAGCACTTATATAATAACAGATATAATTTTGAAATTTCCAGTAGAAGAGAATTTATTAAATTATGGTTTGTTCACAATGCAACATTATAGAAAATTAAAAGTGGGTGAGAATACATGATATTTCATTAAGGAAATAAAACCTAGTAAGGTGGTTCTAGTGGATTTTAACAGAATCATTTCTAAATAATGTTATTATGTGAGAAAAGTATCCTGCAAAACAAATTGTGTAAAAAAAAAAAAACCCATGCAGAAGACATGTGCTGAAAGGAGACAGAGGGACTAGTCACAGGGATTAGGGCCTGGGCAACACGCAGGGGAGAACTTGCCTTTCTTTCATGTCATTTGGAATGTTGTGTCACTTGTTTTCTACTTTACTTAGAATAAACCTATCTATAAATATTTTTAAATATTGTAGATAAAAGAATGTATGAGGAGTAGCTGGTTAGATATGTATGCATTTGAAAATGACTCAACAAAAATTTTTCACACCCTCCTTACATCCAGTGGCCTGTGCTGCCTTTCTTCTCTGAATAACACCTTGACCACCCAAAGTGTCAGATTTACATCCAAAAGTGTATTCCAGCAGGAACATTTCCACAGCGCAAAATATACCGTGTCTCACAGTTACTATTTGTTTGAGAGATGCAAACCATTTATTATCAAAATAGTGAATTTTATATTTAGGTATTGGATCCAAGATCATTTATAGAAATGTTATTAAGAATAGTTTAAGCCCTGACTATTGTGGTTCAGCTTCTGTGTCTGGCATCTGGCAACTAGGGTTCATTGTCCAGCTTCCACTCTGGAGTCTGGCTGTCGAGTCTTGATTATGGATCCGGGTCCTGTCTGAGCTCTGTGGCTGGGGTTTGAATCTATTTCTCTATGGGTCTTGGATCTGGGGTCTTTTGGGGTGTGGCTTTGCAGTCTCTGGGTTTTTGTGTTTGGGGGGTCCATGCGCATTCCTATAAATTTTTAGTTGTTGGCTCCAAGTCAATGCCAAGGTTGGTGTGTGGTGAAGAAGGAAACTTTAGTGCAAATACCTCAACTTTAATACAGAATGTCTGTGAGTAAAGAAGGGTTATTAAGAAGCTCAGTATTGTCACAGGTGAATTATGAAGCAGCACGCTGTGTATCAACTCAGTACTGCTGCTTCGTAGTTACATAGCATCAGGCCTGTGAGGAGGTCCTGAAGTGAGGCAGTTCTGGGGCAAACTCCCTCTCTGGCTGTTCTGTTTAGGGCATCTACTCCACTCATCTACATGATTTCTCATGTAGACCTTTCATTTCCTCTGTGCTGGGCTGCATTAGCACATGAAGAAGTGAAAACTGGAAAGGGCTGGGCGAGCAAAGAAAGGCCTCTGGTGTTGTCACCACAACAGACTAGATCATTATTATTTTTAAATTATACCATGTTCTCCTCTAGTACTTTTGAAGCCCAAACTGACATGGCCCTTTTTTTGTTGCCACTTACTTAAAATATGTAGAAAAATAAAAATAATTGAAAATTCTACCCAAGTAGGTAATAACTGTTATTATATTAAGTGTATGTGCTTGTAAACAAAGTGATGGTGTGTGGGGTGGGGTGGGTGGAGGAGAGTAATAGGGAAAAATTGGGAAATTGTAATAGAATAACAATAAAAAAATCACTTAATGAAATAAAGTATATACCCTTGTAGACATCGCTACTTGCACCTTTCCACACTTCCACTTTCTCTGGATTTAATTTATTATTCTGGGTTTGTAATATGATGCAAAATCTGTGAATTATCAGGCTTTGTCCCCTAACGTGTGGATTTATCAATAATTTTTCCCAGACTTTTTTATGTATTATTTTTATTATCATTCATTTCAAATTATGTTTTAACTGCAATTGTAATTTAATTTGTGGGTTATTTATAAGTGTATGTTATAATTTTTAAATATAAGGACTTTCTAGTTACCTTTTATTACTGATGGCTAGGTTACCTGCAATGAGAGGAAGAAATGTACTTTATACAATTTCTTTTTATTTTCTTTTTTTTTTTTACTTTATACAATTTCAATCTTTTGATATATATATATATTTTTGAAACTTGCTCCACAGTACAATATAGTCAATGTAAAAAAAGAAAAAAAAGCTCCAAGCGTGGTTCTCTGCTGCCATCTCTTTTTCATTTTGGGAATAACACCTTCGTGCTGGTCAACAAGAAAAGTGATGGATTCTGGGAATGTCAATGACTGTTGTTGGCAATGGTATTTAGAAGTAAGTGTATTTTAAAATGTCTCAAGGTATGGACTGTCCAGTTACTTTGTGACTGTGACTGGTTTCCAGATTAGGGCAAAGAGAGCAATAAACGTGTTTATTGTGCCATTTGTTGGAGTTTGCTGCATAGTGTAATAGGCAGGCTTTTAGAAGTTCCAAGTGTGCTTGACAATCGATTGTCATTTGCTGTGTTTGTTGCAGCTTCTTTAAACAATGAAGAAAATAAAATCTATTTAAAATAAATTTTAAACCAAGAGGTTGAAAAAATAAAACTGCTATCATTTTATATGTAAAAATCAAACAAGCCTTTTGGCCAAGCCAGGAATACATGTCCCAACTGTCCAACTCTGCTGCCATCTCGTGGGTATTTTGGGAAATAACATCTTGGTACAGGTCAGCAGGAAAAGTGGTTGATTATAGGGGAGTATCAGTGACTGTTGATTTTTTTCTTTTAAAGACTGTTTCCAGGTATGAGTCTCAGGCCCCAGTGTCAGTGAGCAGTTCCCTGAAACACTTTTTATGAGTACATCATCTGGACCAGACACCGAATTTGGGGGTTCACCATTGGTTGTTTTCTTTGATTGTATCTTTAAATTACCCTTTGTGTATAGAAAATATATTTATTTCTGCATGTTATTTACCACACAATTTACTAAGTTGTATTAATTATAATAACCTTAAGTTGATATCCATGAGTTGTCAAGGTAAATAAGATATCATGCAATAATAAAATTACATTAGTTTAGCTGTATAAAGCATGAAAAATAGTTAAAGCTTGGAATAAAACATGAAGACAAGAAGAGTTAAAATGTGTTAGCTATAAGTTCATTAATAATTAAATATAATATTAACATGATTCTTAGCACTGTAAATGAGTTCAGGACCTGGAGCAATGGTGTTCTAGAAATCAGAAGTATTTTGTAAGTAAAATTGTGCCCCTTGTAGGTTATCTGAGGAACTCACAATATGGCAAAGGTCCACATTTTCAAAAGGGAGAATGTTTGATGGTGAATTCTGGAATGTAAAAGAGTAAGATGGTATATTCTAAGTAGTTTTAAGAAACAATCATTGAAGAGTGATTTATGGGCAATGCAAGGACACA